TGGGACAGTAAAGATCCACGAGGTGACACTTGGAATTAATATGTTTTATAAATTGTTCCAGCTAATTTACAGACAAAACAACGTTATTATTATTATTCCTTTTTTTAATGTGAGTCAATAAGTAATTGCAACGTGTTTTTTAGGCCACTTATTTTATTATAAAACCTCAAATGACAAATTTGTCCTTGAATTATTCAACTTTCTATATACCCCATTGTTTTAGTTCACTGGTTTTGAACTGAATTAGAGTACGAAGATTATATTGATTTAATAATATTCAAATTTTGATAAAATATTATTTAAAATAAAGTATATATATTTTACACCCTTCTACCATAACTTTAAGGTCAACAACTTCAAAATTATTAGAAGATATGAACACAACTAACATTGGGAAAGCAAAGGTCAAGATCGTCAACTCCAGTCAAACATACAGTCTACAAATTAGAAATACAGTTACCATTTTACCCATCACTCCTCTATATAAACCAAACCAGAGTGCTGGCAATTCACAACCCTCCACAACTCTCCTCTATAACAACCCAGAAAACATCCTCTCTTCTTCGTTTTCTCTTCGGATCTTAAAAAAGGCTTAAGCGTTACAAAAGATGGCAGGCTCAAGAAGGGCTATGATCAACGGTGGAAATTCTCTCAGACGTTATCTAGTGGCCGTCCGATTCCCAAGAGGGGCCAAGTTAAGGTGGCAATACTGGTTGTGTTGGCTCACTCCGTCGCTTCAATCTTCTCCCACACCAGTCGCCGATTATGAGAATCAACTTGATATTTTGTTTTGAGTTTGTACAAAGTTTGTACTGTTTATTCAGACAAATAGAATTTTTGTTTTGCTTTAGCTCTAATTGGCTTGTTTCTTCATTGTTTTTGGAATATGAAGAAAGAAGTCTTTATTTTAAACTTCCCCAGATCCTTCCTTACACAGAATTAATTTCCAAGATTCACTAAAAAGTATATAATTATCCTATAAAAAATAAAGCTATGAAGATCTGCCGACGAACTTGCTCAAATGAAAGCAATTTCTCAAACGGCATCTGCGTTTCAACTTATCCAATCCTAGAGTTATCTCTGCCGAACACTAAAGTAGTTGCCCAGTTAACTGCAACATAAAACCTGTTCCTCCAACTGACAACCCGTGTCAGATATGCAGAGCGCCAAATCAACCAGCTTACAAATCCTCGTGTGATATGCCCTTTGCATCCTGCAAAATCACCCAGATTTCATCACTTGGAACCATTAAGTATTAAATTGAGGATTCATATTAAAGCTTAAAACACTTTACCTTTGATTGCGTAGATCCACCAAAGCCTTGAAGCGGCCAACCGATGCCATGCTTCCTAGGTGCTTGTACAAAAAGGGTCTCCCAGGGAAATGCTTTCTGCACTTATGCCTTGCCTCCATTTTGCTTTCCAATCTTTTTGTTAAACAAATCCACCAAATATTTCCCTTGCCTTTCAGCAACCTGTTTCAAAATTATACAGAGATTTTTGCATCATTCTCTGAAATGTATAGTAGAAGGAACCATTCATCTGTTGATAGTGTTCTCTCATTAAATTTTCTATGTTTTTGATTTATGACGAAACAAATTATTCCTCTATTGAATTACTGAATTGCAGGAAAGCACTGCCTACAAATCACTCATTATTGAACACTTTCATAGTTTATTCATATCTAGAGTTTTACCAATCATTGGCTCTGTTAAACTCAATCACATAAAATTTGCCATTACAGAAGTCCACTCAGTTTTAAGGAAAAATGAGGATTTCCACAAATTGTGATTTCTATGGTGTATCATTCATACCAGAGAGCCAATCAGAATGTATCATAGGAGGAAATAATTTGTTGAGCAGAGGGGATCTGACCTGTGCTAGAGCAGGAAGCACTGGCCTCCCTGTCTGTTCAAGAAAACCAGCACAATCTCCAACTGCAAATACATCTTCCACAACGGCACCCTCAACCATTCATCGATACCAATCCTGTATCAGTCAATAAGATTAGACTATGGAATCTAAATTAAGAATGAGAAGGAAAATGAAAAGATGGAACTTAGGAAGACATGCTACTTCTTATACCTTCCACCAGGTGACTGGGAAGATTTAGTGATTTTACAAACTGAGAGGGACCAACACCTTAGACCAGACCAGGAGGCCGTACGGAACATCAGTCCCATCATTGAGAACTATCTTTTTGCGATGCACCTCTTTTACAACACCTTGCATGAGGCGAACACCGGACTGGTACAAAATTCCATGTCAGAGATGGACCAAAGAATTATACTGAAGTCTGAAACATTCTCCAGGATACAAAAAGCAGTTCAAGTTACCTTATTCAAGTGTTTATTGCATACTGCCGCAGCCCGATATCAAAGGATGATAAAATTTCATTTGCCTGTTGAATAAAAGCATTGGTTTAACTTCATAGGTAATGACATGATGATTCATTTCTTCATACTTGCTCAGCCAAAAATTAAGTAGAGTTTCAGGACCTCAATGAGGGTAACTTTAATATCATCTTTAACGTGAGCATACTGTTCTCGGACGTTCTTCATGATGAATCACTCAATTCACCGCTAAACTCCACCCCTGTAGGGCCACCACCAATGACAACACAGTGTAAAAGCGGTTCTTCTCTTCCTTTGATATGCCTGTGATATATATTGAATTTCAAGATAACAAAATCAGTCATACAAGAAAGTTACTACTTCAGTAATGGCACAACACAAAAAACAGCATCACTTTGTCTCAAGGCTATCAAAGAGAACAAGTTCACAAAACCTTCTAGGATTAAAAATTAGATCTCAAGATGGAGAAACCAGCTCACCTGGATTTTCGGAAAGCATGAGGTTCAAGAGAAGCTTCTTCCTTATTTCTTGGGCATGATTTACTTCACGAAGGAAAAATGCATTTTCCTTCACCCCCTTGATGCCGAAAGTTACAGGTTCAGCTCCAGCAGCAATTACAAGTTTGTCATATGCAACTTTGAAGTAGTGGGGCTCTTAGGCAATGCTCCATTACTGAGAGTCTCACAGTAAACCTATAAAAAATATATGATCGAGTCAGAATGTAAACAACAGCGATTAAACATCCATGTCACTAGAGTTGACAACAGCATATAACTTTCACAAATCAATTCATTCTCATAATCATGTTTTTATTAGATCATAAAAGGGGACAGTTGGCTATATTGATGCTTCCATGGCAGTTTGAACCACCTCTTTGATGCACATAATATCTGCCAATGACATCATTAGTGACATCACAGTTTACAGTTAGCCATATTAATGATCTGCATTTATACCCAAACTGGATGTAATAATAATTAAGCTAACACATATTGTGGTTGAAGAAGTCACTCACTTCATGTTTGTCAGTGTCAATGCCAGTGCAGGAAGCCAGATAAAAGTATGAATTGGGTTCTGTTGCTAACGACGTCTGTATCCGACTAACAGGCTCAGCTACAGAGCGAAATTCCAGGGTTCCAACACAAGTTGAAGCAAGCAAGGTGTGAAGACCAGTGTTCCTTGGAGATATGCAAACAACATCATAAATTTGGTATCCAGTCCTTTAAGGAACCGGCATGCACCCCACCTGTACCAATGACAACCACCCTTGCTTTTCACCTGGCTTTGTTGCTTCTAGCCCTGCATACCTTTTTTCCTCATATTCTGATTCAGACTCCTCCGCAATTCTCTCTGCATTTTGAATTGAAAATGTGGGGTTGTCCTGATTCCCCTGCTCGAATTACCCAATGAATTTGCTTTCCTAATGTTATAAGTATGATAGGTTCCATGTGGTGAGACATTTTCAAGGGAAGGTAAGGAATATTTGAATGCGGGTACTTCCTCACGGAATGATTATTCTGAAGTGAGTAACCGCCTATGGCACCTCCTGACCTTCCGAATCCACTCCTAGCATTCTGCCAATGCCATGTTAAGAGTGTGAAAGTCTCAACAGCTTTAGGATTTCAGTACAACTAGAAGCTATCACTATTGAACCTGCAATGAGGGAGATGAGAGAAGTAAGATGCAAAGTGAAACTACTGGAGAGGAGGAGCTCAGGGCAGAAGTTAATAGACGGAGCCAATTCAAGCACTCCAAAGATGTGGACAAATGAAGACAATAAGGAACATTGTATGAAACTACTAGTCCAATCAGGTAAAGAAGTTTGTTGAAGTATGAAAACGACTGATTCCATGACAACTTGACAAGAAAAATAAATGTCAACTTTGGTTTCTTCGCCATGTGAAGGCACAAAAGAGAAAATCTTGTAAACTCTAGAATGAACGAACAACAGAGAAAAAGCGTGCATACCAAATACATTTAGGCCTATTTTGACATTTTATGCAACAATACTGTTGTGACTGCTACCAAATTTTTCTTTGGAATTTCCCAACAGTTTTATCCGAAAATTATTTTACAAATTCAGAGCAATTCCAAAGACATGAACATGGGCTTCTATTTCTATGACATAGCTTGATAATTTTGATGAAATATGCCTGCTGCTAGAATTTTCTCTATGCTAGTCCTTCAAGGCAAAACCTTAGAATTAAGATCTAGATTTCTAAGATATATCTAGGAGCTGGCTGGACCATGTAAAGCTTAATTTCCAAGAAAGGACTGATTTTCCAAAAGAAATTGGCATCAAAAGTGAACCTCAGTTGTCCGTAAAATGGCGGCATCTCTCATAAGAATACTCATTTTTTTCAAGCTTAAAAGACAAGAACAACTGAACAGTATTCTTATAATTTAGTAACACATATTATTTTATCACCAAAGTCATATGGAAGCATGAAACTAATAAGAAACAAAACAAAATGACTAAAAGGTAAGACCTTTATCAAAGATCACAAAAACAAAATCCACCACAGAACTCAGAACAAAAACAAACCCCAGAAAACAACAATACTAAATCCAGCTAAACATTATATGCATGTTACTGCAAAAACAAAAAAGGAAAGACTTTGGAAAGGAGAAAGTTGAAGAACATTACTGTTGAAGAATGAAAGAAAATCTTATTTGTTTAGGGTTGAAGCGTATCCCAGGATTCTGGAGGAGTAGTCTATTTTAACACAAAAACAAAGGCGATATTTTTATAGTGGGTTAAAGCGTGAAGATTACATTAAAAATTACAGTGAGATCTAGAAAGCTAGCTGTTAGTAGGTGGCCAACTTGGAATGCAAGAAACTTATGGGAAACCTCTCTCTTTCTTTATTCATTCATTCAACATTTCCAAATTTTCTGGTGAAGGAACCAAAGTTCCAGGAAGCAAGCATGTTTTCGTATATTCCTTGCAATGAAGTGTTGTCGTTTAGGAACAGAAAGACAATTCTAACCCTGCTACGCCCATTTTCTTCATGTATAAGAGAAGGCTAGTTTTGGGTTTACCGATCTTTTGACACCCTGACAAAACCTAGTAAGTAATAGCTTCCTAGTGGGGAGATATGCATTTATCACATTACTGTAAATATTAATAAAATTTACAATATTTATTACTATTTTATTATTATTATTGGAAGGCCAAACACTGAGAGAATAATAAGATTTTATTTAGTTCATGAATTTAAAATACTGTCCTGGTTTTCCAATAAAGTTAAACCTAAAAATACATTTATTTTAATATTTTTAAAATTTTATTTTATTTTTTCATCTCACAAAATATTAATAATTATCTTTCTCATAAAAATAATCTAATTTTTTTTTTTAAATACTATTCTAAAAATCATCCGATAATGAACCAAATAAAGCCTAGGAGGTTGGTTTAGTGGTCTTGTTTCCTTTGTTGACTTCTTTTTTGAAATTATTTTTGAGTCACCAATCATATTAATGGTTTATTTATAATATTATGTTTATAGGGTGTTCAATGGTTTTGAAAATTAATTGAGGTGCATTTTAAAATTTGTAAAATAACAAAATTTATGTTATGTGTTAAGATAAACGGTAGAAAGATATTTTGATAAAAATATTTATTAATTCTTAATAGCATAAATTGTGACCAATTATTAACTGTTTGAGAATTTTTGTTATTATAGAAACTTGAAAGAAATTTTTTTAATTACATCAAACCTCGAGGGTTTAAATTTTACACTAGTGGAGATTGTGGAATGTTAAATGAAGAGGGCAGATTCAACTTGAGAAAATCTAGGACTAGAAGCGATATTTTATATTTAGTCAAATTGACAGCTTTTAAAACTTGTCGTTGTCGGGCCTTCTGGCTGCTGCTGACGCTCAGATCAGACCTTGTTGAGTTGTTTCTCACGTTTCAACGGCGCTGTTTTAGTCATGTATCAAAATTTGACTTGCATTTCTGACTTGTCTCCCGCCACCCCGAGACTGCTTTTTATGATTGATTTTCTTTTGTTATTTTGGAGAATAATTTATTCCCCTCTTGCTACTCATCTACTGTGCATAAGCATACTAAAACTTGGCGTGATTGGCATGGGCAATTCATCTATTGGTCAACTGTTCTTAAATAACAGGAATAATTTATTATCACGTGTCATCGACTATGTAAACAAAGACAGTTTGTTGGATCATGAAATCAATAATACAGATTTTTGTGAGCTGGGTTTAATGCAAGGGAGGCTGAGTTAAGAATGTGTCAAACGTGGCGGTAAGGGCTTAATTAAGTTGCAGTTGCAAGTCCCTCATCAGAGTCGCCAAAAATGCGGTTCAAGATCATGGCCAACCTGACTCCACCCTGAGCTATACGTTTCATGACAATTGGCATCCTTGAATTGAATTAGTCATCTGCAGAATATATGCAGTTAATTAATAACCATATTAATTACTAGTTAAAGTCTTTGTTGAATGAAATTGTTGGTGTTGGAACCTGCTAGAGTTTCACCAGCCTTGACACCTTTGTAACCCCATTTGCAAGCTATGTTAATACTCTCGGTAGCATACCTGCGTTGCGTATGGGTAAAGAGATTGTTATTATCAATAGATTGGTATTGGACAAATCTTAAAGAGTTTGAGAGCTTACTTGTTTGGACAGGTATGGAGATTGTTACAGTCTTTCCATGATGATACATCATCATACCAGATTCCCTATATAGCATCAACGTAAGCTTAGATCTGTATATATCTGACAAGGGACAAGCACAGTTCTAAGAAATATTGGGCTTACATCTGTGAAGTTAGCGACAATGTCATTTAGAAGGAGTTCCATGTCCTTATCATAGTAATCTTTTAGAGCTGTGAGAATGATCTCCCTATCCCATACCTGTACATTCAGAGCCATTTCCTTTCATTCACAGAATGGTGAGTTTGTTTAAAGCATAAATTTCTTTAAGTAACAAAAAAAAATATAAATAATAAAGATAAACCATTGGATCGCCATTGTGGTCATAATAACTTTTTTTTTTCTTTTTTTTTTTAATAATCAAGAGTGTTCGGGTCAATTTACGTGCACTTCAATCAGTCTTTTTAAACCCTAAAACTATTAGTCAGATACAAGCTCCAGTGGTCACTAGCATAAGAACATTTTCGATGACCAAACGCATATGTAAAGATGATCAATGGTTGCTAATCAACAGTTTTTTAATCTCAACCCCCGGCCATGAGGTTTAATTAAATAATAATTTGTTATTTTCTCTGAGATTTTAGAAATAACATAAAATCTTTTTATTGTTAGTGTGTCAGTTAGAATTTATAATATGATGGATTTACAAATTTGTCTCTCTATTGTTTATTTTAACACAAAAACTTAATGGCAAGAGATTTATGTTATTAACCATAAATTATATAGCATAAAAAGTTTAAACTTCACCATTAAATTGATTTTGAAATCAATATAAATATAAATTAACTAAATTTAATCTTTAAAATTTTTATTGATATTATTTATTTTATTATATAACATTATCCCCTTTTTAATTAAATTTAAATTTTAATAAATTATAATTAATTTGTATAATTGAATAAAACTTCAGTAACTATCCAAATTATTGCCCTTGGGACGGGACTCTGGACTAATTTCGTTCAGTTTTGATGCTAGGCGGTGGATTGTGCAGTACAAAACTGCAAACCAAACACACCCAATGGATTTAACTATGAGCTGGGTTGAGTTCTTACGGATCCGTCCCCAGCTCAATAAATTTTTTAGGGCCATCCTTATTAACGTGGCCCAACCCAATAAGTTTTTAGGGCGGGAACAAAACTATTACGTGTATAACCCAATTTCACAACTTTCTCGTACAACTCTGATGTGGTAGCAGAGTTGGTATTACCATATTAATTGACGACTTTCACTAAACATGAACGACCGTTCCTTAAAGACGAACGGTTGTTACATAGGGATGAATGATCATTCATTCATAAGAAATGATTGTTTCATTCATAAGGAACAACCATTCATTGGTTGTTCTTTATGAAGGAACGGTCATTTCTTGGTTGTTCTTTATGAAGGAATGGTCGTTCGTTCCTAAGAAACGACTGTTCTTGTCTAATCAAAGTCATTTAATGTCTTGGGTGTAGTGGGGGTTGACGTGACAGTTGCTAACTTAGGTGCCATGTTGGGGTTGTAAGAGAAGGTTGCGAGATTGGGTTACGGGCGTAGTATTACTCGTCTTAGGAAATATATCTAGATTATTGAAGTCATTGAAACTTACATGGTGTAGATTAGATTTGTGCCTGAACCAACGTAACTCTATGGTGTTTCCTCCTTCGTCACTCGTGAATCCAACATGCATTGGCTGTTATAAACATTAATAAATATCATTAAACAAATGGTATTCAAATCAGCAAGCAAAATATAACTCTTTAAGAGAACTCAAATATTTACCTGATGGACATCTCCCAGGAAGTGGGATAAGAACAACAAGGCCTCTGTCATATTATCTGCATAAATAAAAAACCAGCAACTTTTGAAGCCAACTTTCAGCTAATTTAACAATTGATAAAAAGCTATAGAACGAAGCTTCTTACGTCGGCGATCAGAGGTTCCTTCTCTGTAGTGCAAAAGCTGAGAGGTGAAATTTTGGATGGCACCAACAATACACATGTCTTTCACTCCATGAGAATCATGGCAGTCCCCTGCAGCAAGTTGAAAAGAACTATATTACTTGACCATCTTGGTTAAAATGTCCAAATTTGTTTTGAGGACAGGACTTTACTTGAAAACTCAAAGGTGCAAGCCTCGTCGGGTGTGTCAATGAAGTGAAGTGAGCTTGTCCAACGGTATCTATACCAATGCCGGACTTGGTCAGGCCACACGCACAGGGCTGATAAGTCACCATTGGCATAGTCAGGTAACAAATTTTCCACAGCATGAGCTGCCTCAGACTCCAGAAGACTCTGTGTTAAGTGAAAACCAACCATTAGCCATGAAAGTCTGATTATGTACTCCCATATATGGAGAAATGAAAACCTGTTTTAAATGTTAATGGTTTTCATTCTAGAACCGAATTCAAAGGTCATGATCCTATTACAGAACCTGTAAGCAAGATTATGAGCAACTAACTCTACTGATCGCGCTAACCTAATTGTGTGAGGAACTAAATCGACATTACCTGTGCAATTCGACAGGTCATAATATGACCCTCCTTGCTCCATGCCCGGGTCCCAGGAGCTGAAATGAGAATCAGACCCATAAACAAGATAAATTCAAACGGAGATAATCTCACCATGCCTCCAAATCTCCCCACCTGCTTCTGTTATCTTATTTTTATTAAATCACTTGCCCTTGTTTCTCCGATATTGAAATCACATAACAAACCAACATCGCATCCAACAGAAATAGTTTGCCATTTGTACATAAACAATAAGACGTAGTCATGGAGTGCAAGTTTCATTTTCTACTATTTTAAGTGCCTCGAAAGTTGACTACAATACAAGCAAGATGGGCATGTTCTGGAATATGCGTTTACACATCAACATAAGAGGAATAGATAAGAAGGTAATCGGAAAGTACGCTTTCTTTGCTTGTCCTGTAAGAGTAGACAATAAGAGGAAGGGTAATTAATAATGTAACAATGTACATGACGTCTACCGTATGGAGAACTTCAAGCTATATACAATGGCGTAGAGGGGCCCTCTCTGTAACCAACTGAAAGATGCCTCTATATTCCTTTATCTTCATGCATCAGCAATTTTTATTTGAGGGGTGAATATACGGTTGAGAGTAGCAGCTAAGCGAATGCCACCTTGAGCAAGCCTCTTCTCCACAATAGGCAACCGAGAAAGGAAATAATCATCTACATCAAAAGAGAACAAGGCATTACTAGATATGGTAACAAAAATTGCTTCAAGTAGTTGATTGTGTAGGGGAAGAGATATTTTATGCCGTGGAAGCAATTTTGGGTTGCTTGTTACATGCAGTTTGAGTTGGCCATGTGCATAGCAAAAACATATTAAAAGAGTTCTTCTGAAAAATCATTAACAATGGTGTTGAACATTGGATAAATTTTAATACACCAAACGGACGGATAGGTCCAACATTTTAGGTTGTCCCTTGACAAAGGGGATGAAAATTTAAAAAAGAATGCTTCGTCTGACAAAATTCTATTGATGAATAATTTATTCTGGAACTTATGCGATATAAAATATGTACAGGGTTTTATTTTACATGGGAGTTGCTTTAATAAATTACAATGAAAGCATCATCCCACTTTGCTAGACATAAACTCACCAAACAAGAAGTTTTTCAAAAATCAAACAAAATTAAAAAGGCCATATCCATTGCACTCATTGCTGGACTTCTGGTCATCAATAAATCACAATGAATAATTACAATGAATAATATATTCTGGAAATTATGCTGTAAATGAGGCCAGCATATATCATGTCCAAGTTTTACCACCTTGGCTAAGAGGCAGCTTTGATGTATTGTAGTGAAACTTGAGGAAATATTATTATACTTTGTTTAGATCAATCCAGATATATAACTGGACTAGAAGTGTAAGCTCTTTACAGTAATAATTTTATTTAGTCTTCGTTGCATAAAATGTGGTAACAGTACCAAATTTCAGGAACTAGAATTTCAGTGGGAGATAACTAGATGGCTTAAGGTCATTTAGGCTAGAGGATATATAGAGCAACAGTGTGCTAAGTTGTGTCCATAAAAATCTTATTTTAATCTATTTTGAGGACAATAAAACTAACAAAACCTCATAAGCGGCCTATCTTTAATTCGATTAGAGAAAATACCTCCCAGAGTGGTTCCTGGTGTAGCATTCCTGTATGCAAACTTGCATGCCAAACTAATGCTTTCAGAGGCATACCTGTAAAATGAGAAGTAATCAAATGATTAGTATTACTCGTCTTAGGAAATATATCTAGATTATTGAAGTCATTGAAACTTACATGGTGTAGATTAGATTTGTGCCTGAACCAACGTAACTCTATGGTGTTTCCTCCTTCGTCACTCGTGAATCCAACATGCATTGGCTGTTATAAACATTAATAAATATCATTAAACAAATGGTATTCAAATCAGCAAGCAAAATATAACTCTTTAAGAGAACTCAAATATCTACCTGATGGACATCCCCCAGGAAGTGGGATAAGAACAACAAGGCCTCTGTCATATTATCTGCATAAATAAAAAGCCAGCAACTTTTGAAGCCAACTTTCAGCTAATTTAACAATCTTTGAACAATTGATAAAAAGCTATAGGACGAAGCTTCTTACGTCGGCGATCAGAGGTTCCTTCTCTGTAGTGCAAAAGCTGAGAGGTGAAATTTTGGATGGCACCAACAATACACATGTCTTTCACTCCATGAGAATCATGGCAGTCCCCTGCAGCAAGTTGAAAAGAACTATATTACTTGACCATCTTGGTTAAAATGTCCAAATTTGTTTTGAGGACAGGACTTTACTTGAAAACTCAAAGGTGCAAGCCTCGTCGGGTGTGTCAATGAAGTGAAGTGAGCTTGTCCAACGGTATCTATACCAATGCCGGACTTGGTCAGGCCACACGCACAGGGCTGATAAGTCACCATTGGCATAGTCAGGTAACAAATTTTCCACAGCATGAGCTGCCTCAGACTCCAGAAGACTCTGTGTTAAGTGAAAACCAACCATTAGCCATGAAAGTCTGATTATGTACTCCCATATATGGAGAAATGAAAACCTGTTTTAAATGTTAATGGTTTTCATTCTAGAACCGAATTCAAAGGTCATGATCCTATTACAGAACCTGTAAGCAAGATTATGAGCAACTAACTCTACTGATCGCGCTAACCTAATTGTGTGAGGAACTAAATCGACATTACCTGTGCAATTCGACAGGTCATAATATGACCCTCCTTGCTCCATGCCCGGGTCCCAGAAGCTGAAATGAGAATCAGACCCAAAAACAAGATAAATTCAAACGGAGATAATCTCATCATGCCTCCAAATCTCCCCACCTGCTTCTGTTATCTTATTTTTATTAAATCACTTGCCCTTGTTTCTCCGATATTGAAATCACATAACAAACCAACATCGCATCCAACAGAAAGAGTTTGCCATTTGTACATAAACAATAAGACGTAGTCCTGGAGTGCAAGTTTCATTTTCTACTATTTTAAGTGCCTCAAAAGTTGACTACAATACAAGCAAGATGGGCATGTTCTGTAATATGCGTTTACACATCAATATAAGAGGAATAGATAAGAAGGTAATCAGAAAGTACGCTTTCTTTGCTTGTCCTTTAAGAGTAGACAATAAGAGGAAGGGTAATTAATAATGTAACAATGTACATGACGTCTACCGTATGGAGAACTTCAAGCTATATACAATGGCGTAGTGGGGCCCTCTCTGTAACCAACTGAAAGATGCCTCTATATTCCTTTGTCTTCATGCATCAGCAATTTTTATTTGAGGGGTGAATATACGGTTGAGAGTAGCAGCTAAGCGAATGCCACCTTGAGCAAGCCTCTTCTCCACAATAGGCAACCGAGAAAGGAAATAATCATCTACATCAAAAGAGAACAAGGCATTACTAGATATGGTAACAAAAATTGCTTCAAGTAGTTGATTGTGTAGGGGAAGAGATATTTTATGCCGTGGAAGCAATTTTGGGTTGCTTGTTACATGCAGTTTGAGTTGGCCATGTGCATAGCAAAAACATATTAAAAGAGTTCTTCTGAAAAATCATTAACAATGGTGTTGAACATTGGATAAATTTTAATACACCAAACGGACGGATAGGTCCAACATTTTAGGTTGTCCCTTGACAAAGGGGATGAAAATTTAAAAAAGAATGCTTCGTCTGACAAAATTCTATTGATGAATAATTTATTCTGGAACTTATGCGATATAAAATATGTACAGGGTTTTATTTTACATGGGAGTTGCTTTAATAAATTACAATGAAAGCATCATCCCACTTTGCTAGACATAAACTCACCAAACAAGAAGTTTTTCAAAAATCAAATAAAATTAAAAAGGCCATATCCATTGCACTCATTGCTGGACTTCTGGTCATCAATAAATCACAATGAATAATTACAATGAATAATATATTCTGGAAATTATGCTGTAAATGAGGCCAGCATATATCATGTCCAAGTTTTACCACCTTGGCTAAGAGGCAGCTTTGATGTATTGTAGTGAAACTGGAGGAAATATTATTATACTTTGTTTAGATCAATCCAGATATATAACTGGACTAGAAGTGTAAGCTCTTTACAGTAATAATTTTATTTAGTCTTCGTTGCATAAAATGTGGTAACAGTACCAAATTTTAGGAACTAGAATTTCAGTGGGAGATAACTAGATGGCTTAAGGTCATTTAGGCTAGAGGATATATAGAGCAACAGTGTGCTAAGTTGTCTCCATAAAAATCTTATTTTAATCTATTTTGAGGACAATAAAACTTACAAAAACCTCATAAGTGGCCTATCTTTAATTCGATTAGAGAAAATACCTCCCAGAGTGGTTCCTGGTGTAGCATTCCTGTATGCAAACTTGCATGCCAAACTAATGCTTTCAGAGGCATACCTGTAAAATGAGAAGTAATCAAATGATGACTAATATGTCACATTCCTTGTAACGTTTTGTTTCCTACAAATAGATCTTCCACCATTACGACTTTGAGTAGCAAACCAGACCAGTAATGTTACTTTTCTTGTGACTATTTGGTCTGGGCAAAAGGGAAATATCAAATAAAACATCACATATATAACTAGTATCTTTTATGTTAATTTCTATCAACTCTCTTGTTGTTATTTATGTCATAAGGGTGTATTGCAAATTCCTTACAAAGTCTTTTAGTAAATCAAGCGGCTTAAAGCTATCATTCCAGACAAATTCAAACAAATACGAGAGAGTAAATAGAATGGCATGTACTTACGGGTCAGGACAAACTGTTTTATTATATTTACAATATTCCCATGATGTTGTATCATTGGACCAACCATCCTACAGACAGAAATCAAACAAACCAAAAGGAAATATTAAATATCAAACAGTTATATAAGCAAGAACACATGCACAAAAATGAAAAAACTCTGCAACCAAAATTTAAAAAAAAAAAAAAAAAAAAACAATTGGTAAACAAGTTAACACAAAGCCCAAAGTGAAGAATTAAAAAGGCAGATCTCTGAGCATGTATGGACACAGGTTGGTGTTTCTTTTTAGTTGGCAGCGTCTCCCTGATATGAGTAATTGTTGTGTCCTTGTCTCCATACAAAAGGAAGAAGGAAAAACATACCGTAAAATTCCTTTGAATGGCCTTAATCATGACTGCTATATCTGAACCATAAAAAGTCTTCAGGGCAGATTCAATTATCATGTTATCCCATACCTGGAACAGAATAATACTTGAATCTGATTACAAGCTCACAAGAATAAATGATATTCAGGAAAGATATGCACACAAGCATAACAATAGATTAAGCATCTGTTTCCTTTTAAAAAATACAACAACTGTTGCTTTGTGAAACCATCTTAAGACAAGAAAAATCCATGCCTTCACACTGGCCTATAGAATAACTATGACCCAATTGATGTCTTGAATACCTATGATACACTGGCCTCACCACCAGGACCTAGTATACATAGTTTCCATATAATACTAAGTAACAAATTCTCAAACATTCACACAAAGGAAAAAAAAAAAAACATGCTTTTACAAAAATACTGATCCGACTCCTCTTTCCCTCCACCTCTCATTGTATAGATGGTTGGGATACCAGACAACCAAAATTTTGGATCCTGGGTGATACCAAAATGAAACTATTGCTTCTATTGTAGCATAAAATTCTTATTTTTACCACGGATCAGTGGGTCATCTAAAAGAAAAGATACTTACTGGAGCTAAAGATACTTACTGGAGCTAAAGATACTTACATGGTGTAGGTTTGTTTTCCGGCGGAACCAACGGACTGTTATAGTGTTGCCCCCTTCATCTCCAGTGAAACCAACATGCAGAGGCTGTCACACGAAAACAAGAAGTTCAGATAAAGAAAAAAGCATTTGTGTGTATGTTTGGAGTGTTACCATCTGTGAAAATTTACACCGAAAACATGTTAAGTGGGCAAACAGGCAAGCGAAAGTGCGAAAATAAGTTTGTGTTTACAATAGGCAGATGTAATCAGCTGTGAGTATCATGGTTCTACTAGAACTATAAAAAAAATCGAAGTGTCAGCAAAGAATTCGGTATTCTTGAGCTCAAGCTAGTCTCTGACCTCTTATACCATAGAGATGCCTTTGCAAATAACAACTCTGTCTCTTATACCTCCTATATTGCTTCCAAGAGATACAAAAATCTAAAAAACCTCTTATACATATCCTTTCAATCAATTAAATTTCATTAAATTAATTATGTAAAATCAGATTTCTCATTTTTCACCAATAGAAAAAAAATAAAGCAAAATATTGCTCCTATTTCAGAAAAATTAATGCTACATCAGAGTCTCACAGAAATTAAATTACAAGAATAATGAATGCAGTCAATGGCTTTTTAACAAAATAATCTGCATGATTCAACATATTTATAAATTTGAACTAGTCCAACAATGCATATCTTGCATTCTCAGCTCTACGTTGAAGCTTTAAAGTCACATTTGGAAGAGCATACCTGATGCACATCACCAATAAAATGAGATAGAAAGAGAAGCGCCTCAGTTAAATTGTCTACAAAGAAGAGGGACAAAATCCATGTTATTGTCATTCATGATATACAACAATTTCTATTATAGCACCTGGAGAGTGTAATATACAGAAAAAAAAATATGCTTACATTTTGCCTCTGAAACAGAGTCCTGATAAAAAGATTTGAGTTGCATTGTATAGTTGTTGATTGCTCCAGTTACACATCTATCCTTATGTCCACCAGAATCATGGCAGTCTCCTGTAAGAAAGCTGAAGAGAATTAACAGGAGAAAAACATATTTTTTACATAACCATGAAGTTAAGGGACTGATTCATTAGAGAAGATTACAATAACACAAAGAATCAATAGTTGAACTGGACTATGGTAAACAAAGAGACAAACTTACTGCAGTATTCATAGTTACACTTAAAATCTGGTGTATCAACATAGTGTAAAGGGCTAGTCCAGCGCCAGTGGAAATTATGTCGAATCTCATCAGGCCAGGAGCAAACATTTGCAAGTTCACCTTCAGCAGAATCAGGAAGCAATTCTTTTACCGCAGCCAAGGCATCTTCTGTGAGATATCCCTAATAATGGATCAAAAAGTGCCTAATTACACGTTTTCGACAAGTTTTTCCAACTTAATTCCTGACCAACTTCCAGACCCATCTTTAATATACCTTCTTACTTATTTCATAGCTGTGTTTCTACTAAACTTATCCAATTCTATGCAGCAAAATTCCAATGGCAGTGACAGTAATATTTAAATTAGGCAGTTAATTTATAAGATATCAATCAATTAAAAAAAAAAAAAATTATTCCCATCTACAAAGCTTTCATTTTGCTAAAAATAATTCCTCCAATTACCAATGTTCTCATTTTAAAATGAAATTTCGATCTTAATAAGTTCTACTTCACCACAGCATACATTGTCATAATGTTGAAGACACTCAACATTGTGTCAAAATCTATCAGTAATAAGCTAATCAAAACAAGGATATACAAACACCCCCAAAAGAAAAGAAAACAAAAAATACTGGTAATAACCTCTGCCATCTTGCAAATGGCATAGTGACCTTCCTTTCCCCAACCCAGAACCCCATTAAACAGTTGCAGAAGAACCAGTGCCCTTCCAATCCACAACAGCCCACACCCACTCATCCTCGTACCTGATACAAAAGTAAATACACTTAAAAACGTTAATCAACTCTATTAAACTAAAAAGTACAATAAACAGAAAATAAATAAAAAAGAGAATTATTTTCTCTTCCGAAAATTTCTCATCTACCAAACAGATGAGACAGTAACTGAAACTGACACACTGTAGCCGATTAAAGAATCAAAAGAAAAAAAGGAATGAGTTAGAGACACCTGCAATATAGATTATGAAAACCCAGATTTTTTTCAACCGTAAGACTGGCTCTGGTTTTAACAGACTTACCTAACTGTCGTCTGTGACAGGAGATCAAATCAGATGATATTATTCCAGGTTAGAACCTGTTCAAGAAAATAATAATATTAAATACAGTGGTATTTAAGCCCAAGCCGCCCCACTTGAACTCTTTTTAAGTCTCAATATCAAATTATCAATTAAATTTAAATATATTTTATTTTATTTCGAAACTAACATTTTTCTTAATTTTTTTAACTTCTCTACTTTTTTGATATTTTTAATTTATCTTTTTATTTTTTTTATTTTTTTAACTTCTCAAATATTAAATCATGATTAATAGAAAACAAAATAAACAACAAATTTGTTCACTTGATTTTTTCTTCCTTTTTTTAAATTTGTTTATTTTTTCAAAGTGAATGAAAGTTGATCGGATATACTTGTCATTTAGAAAAAGTTATGAAAATATATATATATATATATAAAATTAAGAAAATATATTTCCTTTACAAAATCATGACAAGAAATATTTTTCCAATCTTGTTTTGATTTGTTATTTATGGGTTTTCTATAATTATTTCTAAATCGTGAGTTTTTAATAAAGAAAAAAAGTTGAAAAAGATAAGGAAATTAGAGAAATTAAAAAAAAGAAAAGAAAATGGTAATTTTGGAATAAATTCAAATTAATTTTTTTCTAATTGATTTTTGGGGTTTAAAAATTATTTAGGTGGGACTTAAATAAAACCACTCTAATATTAATAATTGATCATATAGTAAACGTAGCTTTTTATTTACAGCCCAAAAATGAAAAAGAACCCAATATAGATAGCTTATGGTAAAAAAGTAAACGGTTTACTTATGTTTTTAATTTCTTAAAAATTTATTAAGTAAACTCATTAATATATTATACTTATATAATTTAATGTAAAATTAACTCTCTATCCTCTTCTATTTTTAATAAATAGTATAGAGCTTAATTTAATTAAAAAAAAAAAAGGAAAAAGGTTATTTAATTTATGATAGAAAGAATTTCTTTCAATTTTATTAACTTTAAAATTTTTATTTTAAATAAATACATTACATTAAGAAGTAAATTTAATAACAAAGAATAATACAGTAAATTTTACCCTAACCTCAAAATATTAAGCGGCATATTTAACTATAAATACATTAACTGCCATATAAAAGTTAATAATAAACAACAATAAAAGGAGAAGAATTAAAATATATAATTTTTATTCAACCTTCATTAATTTCTTAGGTTCGAACTTTGGAATCATCTACTATATTTGTGACTTAACCATCTACTATATTTATGACTTACTTTGGAATATTGAGTTTACAGAGTATTTAATGAATCCCAGAGATTAATTGAGTTGTTTGTAAGTTGATTCGGATATTCTACTCATTATATATATATATATATATATAATCGATTAGAGAGGCAAATGATAGGGCCGAGGAGATGATCACAAAAGCGATTAATGGGTTAGATCACACAAAATTGGGTCTTAGACTTATATAAAGAAAGGCCAGGCCTTTGGTTCTTAATTGGACGGGAAGCTGGCCCAACTTCAAAGAGACAGTTGACATTTGTTACACGTAAAGGGATGAGTTTGATAGTAATTAGAAATGGATTTGACAAGGGTGTAAAGAGTTGGAAAAGTAACCCGCCCGGCCTGCGGCGGGTTACTGCTTTTGACGGGTTGGTCCTAACCCGCCCGCCAACAAAGGCAGGCCGGGTTATGCCTGCCATTTTTGGGGGAATGACTGGCCCAGCCTGACCCGTCAATCATAACCCGTCGGGTTAGGCTACGGGTCGGGCTAGGTTAATCCCCTTTTTAGATTTTTGTTTTTGTTTTATTTAGTTAACTTTTCAAATAAATAATTAACGATTTATAAATAAATAAATGTAATTGTTTTTAGTTAACTTTTCAAATATCAATAATTCAATTAAATTAATTTTTTTTTATTAACATTTCAAATATTAATTCAATTTTAATACAATAAAATTGTAATATAAGAAAAATTAGATTTATTCATTCAATTGATGAAACTTTAGCATAAGAATGAATTATATTTTATATAAGACATGGAAATTTGAGAATAAGACTTCGGTATTTAATTTTTTTATATTTTACGTATCATAAAAAATAATAATAACAATGTATCAAATATTACAAAGTTTTATACATTTTAATATTTATGATTTAGAAGTATAGTTTAATATTATTGTGTACAATTATTTGTAAGAGTTCAATCATAATAGTTTAATTAAAAGAATTAAAAAAATGGGGGAAACTTGAAAAAGATAATTAGTTTTTAATTTTTTTTAATTTTTTTGGGTCAACCAGACGGGTTGGCTATTGCAAACAAATAGCAATCCCCTGGGTTGGCGGGTTGCCATATAGCAACTCGGCCCGCCCGAGGGTTGCTGGCGGGCATCTTGGCGGTCTGGGTTGAGCCCTCCTCATTGCAGGTCGGGTTATGGTTGACCCGTCTAACCCGGCCCATTTGTTCCACTTCTAGTAAAATATAACAAACTAGTAGAGGTGGATAAAGTTCGGCCTAGACAGTCTCAAACCTAAGCCTTCAAAGATAATGCCCAAATTGATTGAGACTGGTCTTTGATCCGTCACTTTTGTGAGGGTCCATATCGGTCTCAGGTCGGGGTCTACCCCATATAAGACAGATCTTGGAACTGGTCTTATGTAGGCCTGATAAATATTTATTTAATTCCCTAATTTTTCATATATTTGGAGTAATAATAACTATGTAAGAGGATTTTTGTAATTTATTAGGGATGATTTATTATATATTTATATATTATAAGGAGGGCTTAGTTATTTGGTAAAAGGTATTTTAAAATTAACCGAATCTAAGTTAGGACGGAATCAACCTAAACCCGGTCACCCTTCCCCAGGGCCCTGACGGTCTCGGGACCGGTCCCAGGGCCCGGGCTTTTTGCCAAATTATAATTTTAATAATATTAAACTGTAGTCCACCTGTAAGGCTCTCCAGAGTCCAGAGTCTGAACCATCACGGCATTTCGGTTCAAGTACATCACCATAATCCTTCACTTGATCCTATAAACTAATCAATTGGAGAAGAAGGAAAAGTCAGTGAAACAATGAAGGCCATAGTGATAACAACACCAGGCGGTCCAGAAGTTCTTCAACTGCAAGAAGTAGAAGACCCTCACATTAATTACGATGAGGTTTTAATCAAAGTCCAAGCCACCGCGTTGAACCGGGCCGATACTCTTCAGCGGAAGGGCGCCTACCCACCGCCCAAAGGTGCCAGCCCATATCCAGGTCTCGAATGCGCCGGCACAGTAGAGGCCGTCGGTAAAAACGTCTCCAGATGGAAAGTTGGAGACCAGGTCAATTTAACTTCTCCTTTTAAACTACTCAACTTATCACTTCAGTCAGTCAAAAACTTGAAAGCTTCTATTTGTACAAAATTTATATGTTCCAGATTAAAATTAAATCATTAATTCTCAATTTAGAGAAATTTCTTATCTTTTTACATGAAATCGAAGTGGGCATCGGATTTTTTTAAGGGGAAATTATTGTTTTTTTGGTGATAAGTTTTGTGGAATTTTGTTGGCTACCAATGAAAGAATCTTTTTATTCTTTTTGCTTTTTTTCATTCAGCGGAAGCTTTAGTGGCTAATGGGTGATACTAATTTGATTAATTGTGTTCACTTAATTTTTATACTTAAATTAGTTCCTTAGAATAATTTGATGTTGTTGAAACTTCAGTTTTTCTATTTTAATTTTAGGGGTATATGGTGAGTGTCGGATTACAATGACATCATGCTATCTGCCTGTAATAGTAATAAGAAGGGATGGAGAATATGAGTTTTAGTAATATTACGACTATGATTGTGTCTTTCTTGTAGGATTTATATGGACATAAATATCCAGCAACAACATGTGTGGTGATTTCCATTGTTGTGTTGTATAGGTTTGTGCTCTACTTACTGGAGGAGGGTATGCTGAGAAAGTAGCAGTGCCAGCTGGACAAGTTCTTCCTGCGCCTTCTGGTGTTTCACTCATAGATGCTGCTGCTTTTCCTGAGGTGGCATGCACTGTTTGGTCCACGATTTTTATGACCAGTCACCTATCACCTGGGGAAGCACTTCTGGTATCTTGAAATCTATTCTGTATTTTGATGCACAATTGTTTACTGTAATTATTGTTTATTGAATGTGAAAAATATATTGATGGCTATGGATCACCGGGATTATCTGTTGCAGTTAACATTTCTGTAGCATTAATAATTTTGTGTTCCAACTTGTTGCATGGAGAAGTAGGATATTTCGCAGTTTGCATTGTTACCTAACCACCCAGCAAAGATGGAATATGTGATTTCGGAAAACATGAGGAAAATGAATAATATGTTCAACTTGATTGCTTATTGACATGCTTTGTTCTTGCACATAAATTCTTTCCTTGTCTTGGGTATGTTATTAATATAGTTGAGCATCTCTCCCTTTCTTCTTAAGCCATATAACTTGAGTCTATTTGAGTCTTATCTTGCATATCGGTGCCAAGGCGTGCTTACAAACTTGAGCAGTTTGTTAATTCATTGCGCCACCCCACTGCTGAAATGCCTTTATAGCCACTACATGATGCCTTTTTGAACTGTTTACTGATAGATAGCCATCACTCAAAGACTGAAATTTGAAGTGTATGTAGGTACCAAGAGGAGTAATTTTCTGACTGTAAAATGATTTATTATCTAAGTGATCATCAATCTCTTTGTCATTTAAGCCATAGGAGTATGTGATTTCCAGCTATGTATGAACTAATGGCTATTAAAATATCAGGTTCATGGGGGTTCTAGTGGAATCGGTACATTCGCAATTCAGATAGCTAAATGCCAAGGAGTGAGAGTGTTTGTTACAGCAGGTCTAGCTGCAACTTTCATCTTATGTAGCCCATTCATTTCCATTTATTTGTGTATTCTAAATATTGATCTCCAGGCAGCGAGGAGAAGTTAGCTTTTTGCAAGGGTCTTGGGGCTGATGTGTGCATCAATTACAAGACAGAGGACTTTGTTGCACGAGTGAAGGAGGAAACTGGTGGGAAAGGTATGTTCACTGGCATTGTAAATGCAATTTTGATTTATGTTGAAATTTGTACTCTTCTATGAAAGTTCTTCTGCTCAATTTTTGACAAGGATTACATTTGTGTAGCTATTTTATCTTCAGAGCCTAACTTAAAATGGATAATTGCAGGTGTTGATGTAATTCTAGATTGTATGGGAGCACCGTACTTCCAACGTAACCTGGATTGCTTGAATATTGATGGGAGGCTTTTTATTATTGGCACCCAAGGTGGTGCAAAAACTGAACTAGATATCCGTTCTTTGTTTGCAAAACGCCTCACTGTGCAAGGTATTGCAATAGCCCTGCCTTTATACTGTGTTTTGGTTTTGTAGGTTCAAAACTGGATGAATTTCATTTCTGTCATCCTAGGTGATCTGGTTATATCTTTCGGTAAAACTAATTTATTCTATCAGGTAAAAGTTCTGGAATATTTCATTTAGAGTTGTAATATAGAATTATACAATTGGAGATTATTTGCGTGGGAGTGTGACCTTTGATGTTTAGTGCTCCTTCTTGGAAGAAGTTATTTTTGGAGAAACCAAATTTTTGGAAGCATATCTTCTGGGTCTATAAGATTCAATACTGTTTCCTTTTGGTGCTTTTTTATTCTTCACTCTTGCCCTATCAATTTTTATTTTTATTGTATGTCAATATTATTTATAAATGATTAATGGTTAGATTGAAATGGTCGGGATTGATATGTCAGAAAATCTTCCCTTGAATACTGGAATTATTGGAACATCAACATTAGTGATATATAGTATTCAATGGAATGTTGTCGTATGTTTTCTGTGGAGAGTTATACTTTTGGATATATATATCTGATTCATGGGTTTATACATTGATGATTTTACGTTTAGCGGCTGGCTTGCGAACCAGAACTCTGGAAAACAAAGCAGAAATTGTCTCTGAGGTGGAGAAGAATGTTTGGCCTGCAATCATGGCAGGCAAGGTGAAGCCTGTGATCTACAAGTCTTTTCCATTATCTCAAGCAGCAGAGGCCCACCAGCTCATGGAAAGCAGCAACCATATTGGAAAGATAATGCTTGTTCCTTGAATAAAACCAATCTTTTAGATCATTTTGCAAATATGCAGTTCAGTACATTATGTTCTTCCCTGGATGTTTCTAATACTTGAGTGAGACTTTCAATTTGACACATAATGTTCGTCAAACTTGTGTTATGTATAAATAATGTCGAGACATATGTAGCTTTAAAGACATTGTAATCTTTGTGGAATTGCTGTAGTTGCATGAGGAAATGAAAGTGGAGAGTTTTGATTGATTGAAATTTGAATAATGCATGAACTAGACCCATGAAAAGGGAGAAAAGTATTTTGAGACGATAATATCATGATGCAACTGTTTGCTTATTAAATAAAAATTATGTTGACAACAATAGTACAAAAAATTATGATAATTAAAGTTATAAAATTGCAAGATGAATAGGAACTTGAATGGTATATATGCTTAAGCCGCATGAAGCCAGTTATGAAAAGCCACGATCCTCATATAGAATTATGGATTAAGATGCTCACCCTTAGCTGGACTGATCTTTTTCTAATCATTGTGGGACTTGCGTAGAAAAAGGAAAGAAACTGGATTATCTGGAGTTCATATCTTGTTCATGTGAATCATGTTAAGCATATAATAATTTATGACAACACAAACATTATAAAATTGACCTGAAAATACTATTCTATTAGCTACTAAAATTGTATGATTGTTTAATCATTAATGTATACAAGTGGAGTTGATGGGTTAGAATTGGTTATAGCAGGACACTGCAGTTGGAGAGGAGCCAAGAGAATATTTTGTCAAACATAGAGAACAATGAAGGCTATAGTGATAACAAGTCCAGGAGAGCCAGAATTGCTGCAGTTACAAGAAGTGGAGGACCCAGAAATCAAACATGATGAAGTCCTCATCAAAGTTGAGGCTACTGCACTCAATAAGGGTGATATTTATCAGAGAAAAGGGCTTTATCCTCCGCCAAAAGGTGCAAGTCTGTACCCTGGTCTTGAATGCTCTGGCACCATTGAATCCGTTGGTAGAAATGTTTCTCGATGGAAAGTTGGTGATCAGGTGATCTAGTCTTAAGTTACTAATGCATAGAAATACATTTATGAGATGTTTCAAAATTACTGATGGAGTTTACAGGTGTGTGCTCTTCTTGCTGGAGGAGGGTATGCTGAGAAAGTTGCAGTTCCAGCTGGTCAAGTTCTTCCTGTGCCGTCGGGTGTTTCTCTCAAGGATTCTGCTTGTTTGCCTGAGGTTGCATGCACCGTTTGGTCTACTGTCTTCATGAAGAGTCGCCTATCTTCTGGAGAAACATTTCTGGTAAACCATTAGTTTGTTTTATGTAATCCTATATATCTGAATCTTGTGATTTCCCGAGTCTAATTAAGAAGTATCTCTTGCTTCTCTATATATTGTTTTCTTTGAGATGTTATATGCATGCTATTTTTGAGGTTATGATAAAAGTTTGATAACGGCTTCTTCCTGATCTTTAAGATTTTGCTAAAATATTGTCATCTGAACCAGAGAACCCACATTGTTTCCTAATGTAAATTCCTGTTTTCGATGCGCTATCTTTCACCATATTTTGTTCAACTTCTCTTTGAGTACTGAAAGGAAAATAACAATAAATTGAAAGCTAAATGTCAATGTAAAATGTAGAAATGGAGTCTCTTATGAAAAGCTTGATATCTGTACTCACTACTTTTAAGGTTACAGATTCATGGAGGCTCTAGTGGAATTGGTACCTTTGCAATTCAAATGGCTAAACACCAAGGAGCTAGAGTATTCATCACAGCAGGTCATTCCTGCCTTTTAATCTTATGGAAATAATCCATTTTTCCTTGCTCATCTATTTCTTTTTCTGTTCCAGGGAGTGAAGAGAAATTAGCTGCTTGCAAGAATCTTGGCGCTGATGTTTGTATCAATTATAAGACACAGGACTTTGCTGCACGAGTAAAGCAAGAAACTGAAGGGAGAGGTACTTTTTCCAGCACTGTAAATGTGAATTTTGATTGAAGTTGGAATTTTTTCCCTTGCATGAAGAACTCATTGTTCCTTGGCAAATGATCAATGGCAGGTGTTGACGTAATTCTGGATTCTGTTGGAGCCCCCTACCTTCAAAAAAACCTTGACAGCTTAAATGTTGATGGGAGGCTTTTTATTATTGGAGCCCTCAGTGGAATGGCTGCAGAAATAAACCTCAGTTCTTTGTTTGCGAGATGCCTGACAATACAAGGTTTGAGTATTAGAAGAACCCTTGATTTCTACTAAGTTTCAGCTACGCATGTTTGGGGTAGAATGAAGTTGATTATCTTATTCATTTGTTCTGTACATAATTCCTTGTCCTTACATGGTTATATCATTGGTGATTATATATGCAGCATCTACTTTGCGAGGCAGAAATCCAGAAGACAAAGAAATAATAGTTAGGGAGGTGGAAAAGAATGTTTGGCCTGCAATTATGGAAGGTAAGGTTACGCCTGTGGTGTACAAGTACTTTCCAGTATGCGAAGCAGCTGAGGCTCATAGGCTTATGGAAAGCAGCAAGCATATTGGGAAGATTCTTCTTTTTCCATGACTCTACAGGTCTTGAAGTTACAGCTCCATTGAACTGAATGGCAAGGTTTTAGACCTCTTACAAGCTTTTGCAACCAGGCACAATGCTTAATTGCATCTATGGTTTGGAAATGCAGAATTTCTGTTATGACCTTTTCATTTGAGAATAAGTGATAAATGAAGTACTTTCATTTTGCTCACTTACAGTTAATTTAATGCAAAAGTGATTGATCTGAATCATGAATGATTTTACTGACCTAATAGCTTAATTTGGAGGTAATTTTAAGAGACCAGGTTATGAACTTGAAGATGTAAATGCGATATGTATTTATTGAAAGTATTGATTGTAATTAACTCAGTAGTATTGATTGTAATAAAACTAAGTTAATTTAATATTTGATTCGAACATCTAGAGTTTTTCACTAGGCTTGAAAAACCAACTTTCTCAAAACACTTAAAAGTTGCACCAACTGAAATTCAGTCAGAGTCCAACTATACTGCTAGTGTCCAGCTAACTTACTGGCTAAAATTTACATACCATTGGATGTAGGCAATTAGGTTACCGTGTCCACACAGAGATTAAACAATGTAATTGCATTTTGTTGTATTAACTTGGAGAGGAAGTAAAAGACTGGAGTAAAATTGCATGAAAAATAGGATAAAGGCTTCTTCCTTGTAATGTTTATGTTGTGATATGACAGCTTAAAACACATAACAACCCAGAAACTTTTAAAGCATCACAATGAGTTGTTACCATTAATCTGTCCAGAGCAAGGACTGGAATTTCACTCACTGCAATGAGCTTCTATTGCAAGGGTTTTCAGCAGTCCAGGGCAAGCGTCACCAAGGTTAGCTGAGGAGACAGGGATTGAACATTTTACCTGACCAATGCAAGCCTGAAATTCCATTGAAATGTGTGAGGAAATTATATGATGTAATGAGATTATATGTTAAAATGGTAAAAAATAAAATTTGGGGAACTTTTGTAGAAGTGAGATTATAATGTAAAATTTATGAAACTAAAAAACCAGAATGACACAAAGTCTGAAGTCAAGAAATCTTTGACAAATGACCCGACGAGGCTAGAATTCAGCTGAAAAAATTACCAATGTAACATAGCTGAACTCATCTGCAATTCAGATTGGAGACTGTGTTTCTGGATTCGCATTTCATGCAAGTAAAGAAAGGTCATTCATACCTTCTCAACAGTAGATAAGACATCGGCATGACAAGTTCCTGGACGAAATGTGCCACAAGTTCCTACAGGAGTTCCGTAGCTGGCAAAATTAACTGAAGTAATTTGCCATCCTTGTTCACAGGTCAGTCGAACTTCAGGGACTTGAGAACTAAATTCTGAGTTCGGTTTCCAGGAATCAGCTGTTGGTGGATCAGCTTCTGATACAAATGAACAAATATCTTGGCCAGTTCTTGTTTGCACAGAAATCTTTGATGGGTCTCCCCCAAGTTCTTCATGAAGGACTAGTAGGTTTTCACCAGGATGTACCCAAGTGCGCGGAATATGATACCTGGACATTGTTATCTCCTCATAACTAATTGTAAAATATGTATAGAAAATGTGAATAATATGAAATGTAATGGTACTGTGCTGCTTAGAATCTGTTGACGCTTACAATGTTTGAGCAGGTTGACCACACCCTTTTTGACATGTAGATGGATCATGTGTTCCTCGGTAATCACAATATTCAGTGCAACCGGTTGATGGTGAGAGATAGGCAGGCCAATATCGACCTATGCTCTGCCCATTAACCCAAGCTTGACCCTTCCCCATGCTAGCAAGATTTAAGACTAAGGGGCCCTTCCCTTCTGGGGCGACGAAAGTAACCTGAAGAAGATAAAATTGAAAACTAAGCATGCTCTATACAAAAGGTAAAGATGTAAAAAAAAAAAAAATTGAAGTGAAATCTCTTCCACTAATCAAAGCAAAAGGAGCAGGAAGTCCAGGTTCACAATATAGTTCACCTATGATTAGTTTAATGGAATTATTTGATGCATCAGGCACAAGAGCTCAACCGTACTAGAAATTAATACAAGCTCACAAGACTGAAGGAATATAAACTTGCAGGTTATTCAGTAAATTAGTACGCTTAATTCTACTTGTCTATTAATTAGATGAAGTGAGCAAGTGTCTTTCAAAGATTAGGATGTTCAACAGTGAGTGAACTATATGAACACCTCAACTCTGAAGAACATCTGTTGTTGTCAAATTCCAACCACATTTTGATTCAATACATGTACATAAATGTGGTTAGGTGGCATCAGAATCAGGTTTCATCATATTTAGATACCAAAAGTTGATTCATCATACATATATGCTACAGTTTATGTTGTATAGTTAGAAGCAAAGACAACAAATCTGTTACTTCAACTTCTGATTCAAATTATAGAGTGATGAATGTCACCGACAATAACTTACTTTGTACCATATCAGACTCTTATTAACAGGTAGAGCACTCCCCTGAGTCCATAATGAACTGTTTGCGAGACTTACTTTATCCAGTCCAAGATATTCTCCTTCGACTCCTACCTGAAAGGAAGGAAACCTGTAGCTGAATATGGTTGAACTTGCTAGAGCAAGAGCTGATCCTATTAATCAGTGAACTCAAACCTGATAGGTCCATTCTCCAGAGGAAAGGTCATTCTTGCCATTCTTCAAGCCAATAAGAGCAACGAAATAAATTCCTGCTCCAGCAATATCAAACCATGGTCCATAATTCTGTTGGATATTAAAAGAAAAAGAAATGAATTATTAGTTAGTCTGATGCCTTGGCGCTGAAGATACCTCAAAATACTCTAGGAAGTTAATTTATCATTATCCCATATATCATGCAGGGTAAGATAACAGAACATGGCTCTGTATCTTCAGAAGAGTTGACAGGACTGGCTATAAAATTTGCTAACAGTGTCAATGAATTGTGGAACAGGCTGCTGACAAATGTAAGAGTGGTGTCCTTGTATGCTTACCTTTACATGAACTTCAGTACTGAATGCATAAGTGAAATATTATATTTTTCAAAGAAAAATAAGCATGTTATTGGGTGTATGAGTTTAATCTACGACAGCCTAAAAATCCAGAACCAATTTCTGTCAGTGCATACTAAATAACACTGAAAATTATCAACAGAAAAAGATGGATGGTGCTTATGCATTAACAATTCAATCAAGTCACTTTAAGGAAAAGAATTTAGTGTACCTGCACACCGACCATCATACTCAACAAATCCAGTGTATTATTTCCTTCATTGAGACTAATCTTCTCATTGATTGAGAAATTCGCATAGTCATGATTTCCATATCCAAATGCTGTAAAAGGATAAACATATAATATACATCAGTCTTAACAAGCACACATGGTACTAATCTTGGTGACAATTCTGGGATATTGAGACTGTTATCATAACTATAATTAAATAGTGCCAGCACTGAATAATATTTTACAGAATAACATTCAGTTTAATTGCATATCCAGGGAAAGCAATGATTTTTCTACTAGATTATAAATGGGAGCCAAATTCTGTCCTGTGATTGCAGGTTCTGATAAAGGAAAAGATATGCAGCATTTACGGAAGGAATTATATTTGCCGAAGCAGTAAGCAGAACAAGCTATTTGTTATTACATTATAAAAAAAAAAACAAAAAAAAAATAAAAAAAAAGAACAAGCTATTTGTTATTACATTATAAAAAAAAAAACAAAGAGATTCAAGATAATAGTTTAATAACAGTAAGAGTAAAGCAACAATAGATGAAAGGAAACATTTAACATGATATGATACATTGTGAATATATCAATACAGCAGCTACATTTCTCATTCATTAAAAGTAAAAGAGCTGTTGAAGACTGCCACTATCTGAAGAAATCTACCATATAATCACAATTAAAAGAAATTTATGGATTTCTTGAAAACCTTAAACAAAGTCATATCTTTCAATAAATAATCTATCTCTAAATGAAGCAACATAATGGTTCCAACTTCAAGTTCAGAGAAGGCAAATGATTCACATCCAAAAACCATGAAACAATAATTTTTTAAAATTCTCTTAATTTTCTGGATAGAAGTTGGGAATTTCAACATGACAGGACTTCATAAATTGAACAGAGAGAAAAAGTAAAGATGACAGAAACAATTACACTGCAACTCAGAAGGTACCCACCTACAAGTTTTTTGTTTACAAAAACAAGCGCCGCATGTCCCAAACTCTCGATATTCAGAACAGCTTCTTTCTCTTCACCACTCAGATTAATACTGCCAATATCATTGAGTAAGGTGATGGCAAATTCAGCATAGATTAACATAGGAGGAAAGAGTCAGTGATGATTAAAAGGTTCATTAGTAGGCTTTGCATCTATTGATATAGCGAATAATCTAAACTGAAAAACAGAAGAACAGAAAGAAAACATAGTTTTTTAAAGAGTGAAACTTGATCAATTTGGTGGATTAGTACTTCTTGCTCTATCCTTAAAAGCAATTCATGAGATATTTCTAGCTACATTCTCGATCAAAACCAAATACAAACAAGAATAAGTAATACAAAGTGTATTACCTTGTCGTGTACCATAGAAAATCACTATCGTCTTTTGTTGTATTAATCTGCTCCAATAAACCTGGCTCTGTGAATGAGTTGTTGCCCGAAACACCTACTTCTTCTATATACCAGCTCCATGATGATGACGCCAACAACAACTCATTAACATTTTTTTTCTGGCCAAATGAATGATCACCAGTAGTTCTTTGTGTAACAACCTTCAAGTAAGAAAGTAGTTTAATAGAAAGTAACGCATAAACATATACAAAAGTTGACAGTAAACACTACAACACTGCTGTAAGAATCAAACCTTTGCTGTATTAAAGATGGCATTCTTACAATCCGGAAGGATGCTTACTGACCAAGCTGGAAGGTGGTATAAATTTCCATTAAACGTGACATTTGCGTCTGAACGGTTGTCATAATTGGCAAGGAAGGCTGCACATTCATTGGAAGTTTTGTAATAGATATGTGCCTAAAAGTTTTAAAAAACGAAGAAAGGATGTCAGCTTGAGTATTCCAGCCAATGTTGTAAACTTGCAAGAAGAGCCAAAGCCCACATGGAAACTATAAACTGAAGATTTTCTCAGAAAAAAACTAAAGAATTGTTTAGCCTTGGCAGAAATGATGAATAACTTCCAGAAACAAAGATGCTAA